TGTTGTTTGCCTCATGTCTTTGTCAATTTTGACTCTGATGAAGACACAATAGTATCGAAATGTTAGTCTGTTTGCATAATTAAAGGCTGTAAATTAATCAGTGTGCTCCAGTCCTCCTTTGTTTTCTGTAAAACAAAGCCAGTCAGGCCAATATATAAAGTGCAGCACTGTGGGTACATCTGACAGCAGAATAAGAATAGTGCTGCACACAGTCAGTCTAACTGTACATTGTTATCATTTCTGTTCCATTCAGTCCTATCTCTGATTGACTTTTGTAGCCGCTGAGATCAAAGGCGGGAGGAGACAAAAGATGAAAGAAGATAAAAGAAGAGTTGGAGGAGAGCCATCCTCGAAGCTGTCACCTCACCACGTCGCCTCCAGTAGAGTGGCAAACAGGTTCTGCATCAAAACCCCTGGAATGAATAAAAAACTCAACACAACACACTTTCAGCACTTGCCCTGTGTATTGTTTTGCAGGTTTCTCATGACTGAATAATTCAAGTATTTACAAATGTACAACTTCCACACAGAGTCTGTCTGGAAATGAATGTCTCCACTCATCTGTATTCTGCTTCCCGTCCACACGGAGGAATGACCAGAGGGAGCGTGGCGTGTCAGACGGGAGATTTTTAATATCCTGCCAGAAATTCTCCTCATGTTCAGCCTCTGCTGAGTTGTCTTGTGCCAGATTCCTTCAGCTGTGTGTTTAAATTACTTGCCTCCCTCTGGTTACTGAACGAGTCTTGTTGTTGCCAGAAAATACAGGTTGGACCCCATCTAGGATCATAATGCTGGTGGAGGGAGGAGGAGGAGGAGGTCGATGATAATGATGATGTTGGGAGCAAACTGTTTCAACCATTTTCATGTCAGCAGCATTCAAAGTGAACCACATTAAAGGAGGACTCCAACAATTTTACACATCCAGATCCGTTGACTTGTCAGGGAGAGTACTTTCCATTCCAAAGAGTTGTATAATGTCTTCTGGAGGACCTCTGTCAAGTCTGAGAAATGATGTAATGTTTAGCTCTGGCTCGCCAAATACAAATTCTTAACAGAAAGCCTGAATAACAAACTGGAGGTATTTATCCGAACTAAGAGGCGCTGTTAAGCTGCATTACTGGAATCAGACTGTTGGAGTGCAACACATATTAAAGGTGCCCTTTATAGTTTTCTTGTAAACAAACAACAGCTTTGTTTACATTCAGTATTTCTCACCAAAACTCACTGTGTATCCTTGAGGTCAGCCAAACATGTGAGTGCATTTCCTTCCTCATAAAACGTTTTCTAAGAAGGACTTATTCATATTTTAAAGGTCCAGTGTGTCACATTTGGGAGAAATGGAATATAATATTCATAGCTATGTTTTCATTAGTGTATAATCACCTGAATATAAGAATATTTGTGTTTTTGTTAACATTTTCATCTACAGTGGGAGCGGTCCCCTTCTACGGAGTCCGCCATGTTGAACCACCACTTATGGATCAAAGGTGATGATTGAGAGGGACATGTTTGAGTCTATACATTGTGTTATGCTATAAGAGGAATGTGTTGTCTTGTACTGCAAACCAAATCTAGCTATGGTCACAAATTAAGTAACCTTGAACCTTAATCGATTGGTCCGTAAAATGTCAGAAAGTGGTGAAAAATGAAAAATCAGTGTTTCCTGAAGTCCAAGGTGACGTCCTCAAATGTCTTGTTTTGTCCCCAACGCAAAGATATTCAGTTTACTGTCATAGAGGACTAAAGAAACCATAAAATATTCACATTTGAGAAGCTGAAATCAGAAAATCGGGGCATTTTCCCTTAAAAATGACTACAAATAATTGACTGATTATCAATATAGTTGGCGATTAATGTAATAATATAAACTAATTGATTAATCAACTAATTGTTGTAGCTCTACTTTAATCTGTATGGTATCTGCCTAGGTTTGGAGACTAAGACTACGTTCACATTAATTAAAAATTCCACACCCAACAACAGTCTCCAGGCTGGATGAATCTTAAAGGTCCAGTGTGTAACAGGATCTATAGTCAGAAATGGAATATAATCTTCATAGGTATGTTTTCTTTAGTGTATAAACACCTGAATATAATAATCATTGTGTTTTTGTTGCCTTAGAATGAGCTGTTTTTATCTACAGATGCTGTGCGTGGCCTTCTATGGAGTCCGCCATGTTGTACCGCCATGTTTCTACAGTAGCCCAGAAGGAACAATCCAAACACTGGCTGTACATAGAGCCATACTCATTTTTATTACGTTTCACGGCCTCTGTAGTTTCTCCCTCACAGGTGGAAAGGGAGGGTGAAACAAATGAGTTGCAATCTGCAACTACACCGCTAGATGCCACTGAATCTTACACAATGGTTCTCTCAGTCAGGATGCCTTGGCCTTTCCTGCATCAATTATAATCTTTTTTATGTCTCATTAGAGTTTCCCCAAACTTTTTAGTCCCACATACCCACATTTTGTTCAATTAAGCCCCACATGTACCGTTTCTTGAATGATTTAATGCTGAAACGTGCAGCAGTCTGCATTATGCATGGCAAAATGTATAATTATAGAAGTGATTATTCCGCATTCTCTTAGTGGGAGAAATGGTTGCAGGGGGCCTTCATGGAACCGCTAAGGACCCCACAGAGAGAGAGAGATCTTCTATCTTAAGTAATGCTATCTCTGATGTCTTCAATACTCAGACAGCCTGCTGTAGTCAGGCCTGTTGTTGCTCAACAGGCCTGGAATTGTGTGGTAATCATGCCAGCATCAGACAATGGCTCCTGTATTTTCACCTTCCCAACCACACGCTTTTTTTTACTCCAACTCTTAAGAAACTGCTGGCTGCAGGCAGGACTGTGTGATTCAACTTTTGGGAAGTGAAACTCCTTCGGGAATAGGGAGGAGGCTGCAAAGGTCCAACGAATTTGGGGGGGAGTGACTCGAGAGGGAGGGGGTGGCTGTGGTTTGGGGGTATAAACAGCAAAGCACCGCCACCGCCCCCTCCGTTTGAGCAACTTTGTGCCCTTGCACATCCGTCTCTGTCTCTCCCCCTTTCTCTCTCTCTCCCCCTTTCTCTCTCTC